AAACGCAAAGTTTTTCAGAGTGATTGGTAAATTAAAAAAATTATATAAAAAAATATCGATACTTTTACTGAAAGTAATATTAGATCAAAATAATAATCTAAGCGACTGGTAAATAGACTCTGCAATATAAAAGACAAAACTCCAGAAACTCCTAAAATTTATAAATTAATTTATGTGTCACGTAAATTTTATCTAGAGACCATTGAATAAGTCTAACCGAATACCGAAGAAGAAACTTCGGTATTCTGTTAGACTTATCTTGAAAATTTAAGTGAAGTGCACATTGTAGTATTGTGTAAAATGCAAAGAATCGACCTCTTTACTGCTACGAAGGTGCTACGAAACTACTACGACGTGCTACGATGCTACAAAATTGCTACACGACTACGAAATACGTAGACCTCTTGTGTTATAGTGCACGGTTCTGCTTGTGTCCTAAATAGTTACTGTTGTAGGTCACAGCAAAAGTATTGAATAGGTTGTAAATGAGGTTATATCCTTTATAATACATAGGTACCATATAATAATATAATGTATATCGTGCTACACTATTCATGTTAAAAAGCTTATCAATTTTCTAAAGCTTTAAAATTGATATTTCGATATATAGAGGAGTAGACGAGTCTTGACTAGCAGAACCTGCTGTGTTTAAATTGAATAGGCCTGGTTGACATAAAAAATACAATCGTTTATATTAAAAAAAAATGTTACTTTAAAACCAAATCGGTTTTACAGATCTGGATGAAGATTGGCATAAAAAAGATTATGGCGTGCCAAGGTATGCTTTATACTACTAACACGGACAAAGTCAGGGACAGAAGCTAACGTAAATTGGATAGTAGTCTGGTCATCAGTTAGCCATTTAGATAACGAAATGCTGCGAAGCGTCTTGTAGTGGGAGGGGGGTTGCATAACCCAAATGGTGTTAGCGTCCGACTACATTAGTTACTGGGTGGTATGTACGATATATAACGTCTTACTTTATTAGTGTAAGCTCTGCTATATAACCCACTAGCTTCTGCCAGCGGCTATGTCCGTATTTTCCTTTATCTAAGTTGCCTATGTGTTATTTCAGAGTAAAATTTTCTTTTTACGGAAGAAATGTAATTTTTTTTTTAAACCTGGATGGGCTTCATCTGACTTTTGCGTTCCTTAATCTGCTATGAGCCGGGCTGCGATTTATATTTATGCTTTATTTGTAGCCCTGGCCGGGCAGTGTCCTATTGGGCCTCATTTGTGGTGGTCTGCTAACATGAGATGTGCGGAAAATGCAACGCGGCCTGGGCGTGGATCTAGTTGCAGTTAGGCGGCGAGTTTCCCTTGCTTGCCGTCATGTACTAATGGTGGTTGATATCGGCGCACGCTTTCGACAACCTATCATACAGATTTAATCAGATTTATTTAGCCTCATTATTTCCCTGGACGGGAGAAGTCATTTGATGATTTTCCCTTGACGAAAAACCATCACTTTACCTCAGAAATGATGGCGCAATGAAGACACATTGCACGCGCAGTGCTGTTAAATTTGGGATTACAAAATCATAGAAACCCGATAATAAATACCTTGTACAGTATTACGGTAGCTTATAATTGAAGAGAGATCCAGTAAAAGGATTCGTTTTATTTATTATTTTATATTATAAGTAAAACCAATTCGAAAATATATTTTTTCTACTTTGAAACTGAAGCGTTTCCTTGAATTTTTCCTCTTCATATTGACCCCTGATATTTATTATTAATAAATGCTTAAGACTTTAATAATTCTATATTAGTTTATTTTAATCTTTTTTACCATATTTTTATTCAATCCATATCTTTTTTTTTATATTTTATGGCAGTCGTTACGCGTTCATAGTGTTATAACATCTACATAATTTGTGTTATCTGTGCTTATGTAGTTCTACAAAAGCCTGTATAAAATATGTTTATTATGTCAGTTCGCTATATGAAGAAACTACAACAAGTAAAAATTTTAATGAAAGAACTATATCTAATATTAACTAACTCCAGCTTTAAAAACGAGTACAGACTCTAAACGCGATATTTAGCAAACATTAGTCATATAAATATGAGGCAGTTTCCATGCACGCCTGCATGGCTGTGAAAGCAAAATACCATTTATAATCGCTATAAGTAAGTACAAATATGAACAGCGTCATAGCATAACAGTTAATCCCGAAAGCGCGGTGATTATCGCATCATCCCCCTAAGGATTATACAGAGCGAAGCTAAAACTCAACAAACACTCACGACCCGCTGCGACACAAACCGTACAACATAAAACAAAACCATAAAACCGTGGATTTATTGAAATCAACCCCTTTTTTCATAACAACATGAAAAAACCCAAGAAAATTTGATTTCAACCCGCTTTCGCCGATCTTAATTGATTTTTCCGTACATTTCGGGGTGAAGTCGCGCACGAAATATGTACAACAAAAGGGTGATTCAATTTTCCCGTTTTTATTTCGACGTGGACAAGGACGCATTTAATTTGGTCGTTAATTAAAAATTTCGCCTCGCACATACCTACTGCGGATTACTTTACGATTTCTATAAATTTAATTTCGTCCGAAATTTTGTGTAGGTTTACGAGTAGGAAATCGCAATCAGTCAGTGCGTTTGTCGCACTTTTTTGTCGCCATTATTTGTTCGTAATTTTCGGTCGTAAAATGTACAGCGTTGACATTTTAAATTGCATCGTCACGACGTTTTTATTGGGTAACGGAGGTGAAAATTTCATTCATTAAAACCTTTTTGCTCGGGAGGGAGATATAATCAATATTTTGGTCATATACCATATTGTTATAATTATAATTAAGTTTCATGTACTTTACTAATGTAGTACAGGCCTTTCACCTGTAAGAATGTCAAATTTTGTAGTATCATGTCATGTTTTTATCATCGTTTCATTGTACCAGCCAGAAGGATGATATAAAAATTAAAAAAAAATACTTTACATAAGACATAATATAAAGTTCTATACCTCCCTCATTAACGCCCAGTTAGTCTAAACTATTATTTGCAGCGCAATGAATTGGAAAAACAAAAAAGTTGTCTATTTAAAAGACTTGACATTGTACTGAATGTAGATACAAATTGTAAAAAAAACATTAAAAGGAGTTTGTAAAGTAAACAGCAAAAACAATGCCAGTATAATTATCCTTTAGGGAAACAACAAAAACCAATTACAACGAACCCTTTTACGAAACTTCTTTCTAAATAGTAAACATTGTAGATTTTAATGCAGCTGTATTACGCCATAGATATTAGCGTTTAGCCTGAGAAACAACGACACTTTTGCCTGTACCCAGACGATTACCGCTCCAAATTGCTTTGCTTCTGTTGAATTTAATTTCACCACAACACTCTCAGGATAGACTTTAGTTGAGACTGAACGTAATATTATCACGAGTGCAAATGTATATTGGATGAGAAGATGCTAAGTGCATGTTAAGTTGTTCTGTTCTCGTTTGAGATGTAGTTTTTTGTAACATTAGTATTATGAAGTCTTAAGTTATTATATACAAGCTTTTGCCCTCGACTCGGTTTGCGTGGAATAGTGACTTTCTGGTGATTTTTGGTATAAAATCTCCCCTATGTCCTTTCTCGAGTTCCAAACTATGTCTGTACCAAATTTCGCGGTAACCAGTTGCCCAGTCACCGCGCTAACCATGCAGTCAAAGAAATTAAATAAAAATAATAATAGAAATGAAAAATTATTAGAGGATCTCTTAACCAGCTACAAAAAAAGAGGTTTCCAATTAAATTGTATATTTTATGTTTGTTACTTAGCCTTACCTACCTCCATAGTCATTTTTGGAGTCGGTGCTCATTGCATCGTGCCATGTATACATATTATACACATACCACATTTGAATCTCTAACGACTAAATGAAGTGAATTTATTTCTCCACTGTTTAATGGATGTTACATATAATCCTTCCTCTTCACTCACTCTATCTATTAAAAACCGCATCCAAATCCATTGGGAGGTTTAAGATATTAAAGCATAGATACTTAGAGTTATGGGGACAGAAAAAGATACTTTGTTTTATACTATGTAGTGATTTTTTTAGTAACGATTTTGTGTCTCGGTGAATTAAATTCGCGTTTGCGTAATGTGGTTTTAATTTCATACTCTTGATAATAGAACCCCGTAGTGAGAATGTACAAGTCACTTGGTACCACGAAGTAATATCCTTAGACAATAGTCATAATATTATAGTAGTTTAATAGATAGTCCTAAAATTTATTTGGCATTCGTATTGTTTAACATGTAACTTTAAATCTATGTCACACTTAATAAAACAATTAAATTATTTTTCAGTATTATCTGTCAATTATTTTTTTCTAATTCCTCCAGAAGATAATAATTTTAATTTTAATTATATAAAATATACATATACTAGCTGATCCGGCAACCTCCGTACAGCCTCCGTACAAATATAACTTTTTTTTCATTAAGTCATATTTTCCCTACTTTTAACTTTCCTTGTACTTCAATATAGTTTTAAGACCAAAATTTTAGAAAATGGACCAGCCTTTTTCGAGTTTTAGCGAGACTAACGAACAGCAATTCATTTTTATATATTACAAGAAGAAGATTGTTACGCCACTGGGCAAAACATGGAGAATGTATCTACATGTAAAACCTCATATACTATAAATAAATTTTCTGATCTTGATTCTGATCCTCATTCGAAAGAGAGGTGCTTACTGAATACGAGTGGACTGCGGAGCTATCGCACTCAGATGCATCTAATTAATGAATGTCCAACTGACTCGCTGTTGCTGTTTATATACTCACCAATATGTGAATGTGTGCCGTATGTCGTGTGTCGAACTTAATGTCATTGTAGATGTGTGCATATAAGCACTGATGCGTCATCGTATCGTAGACGAGAACATTATTTGTTCGTTCGTTATGTTCTAGATTTTTTTTTACTTTTATTTATTTATTGATTTTTTTTACTTTGTATAATTATTGAATAACTTACCTGACATTCATAAGTGCCATTGTCCCTCTTCTGAACGAATTTGATTTGTAAGGTCCAGTCTTCAGACCCTTCACCATGTAAGACCTGAAAATAAAGAAAAATATTTATATGTTATTATTAAAAATATCGTATGTTATAAAGTAAAAAAAAGTAAATTTAATTGTTTGTTTTTTCTTAAATAATTAGGCTCCAAGTTAGTTGTATGATCATGTAGATAGAAATTGTGAGTGTGTTATGTATAAAGATATATATTTTCCATATTAAAAAAACCTACTCCATTCTTTGCTTGGCCGGAATATCAAAACTAAGTTCACTTGCCACAATAGCTCTATAGCGGTCACAATGACCGCTATCTTGGCCAAGCAATAGTATATATTCTAAGATCCAGTCAAGAGTTAGAAATACGGTTTTACAACTATAATAGCGTGCAATAGTGCAAACTAAGGACTCACAGCGACATTCCTAAACTCAATTCCAACGTTCCTTGTTCTACGGAACAAGATTCGGATTTCCCAGGAATGTATTTTCTAGAATACGGACTGGGTCAATGCACAAATACAATTGCGGTAAGTAAGAAGAGAATTCACAAAAGAATTTATAAGAGAAGATTTTATAATTTTTTATAGAATTACAATGAGTCATCATTAATGTAATTAATTAGAATTAAATCAATTCATTCAGAAAATACTATTCTATTCTAGAAGAGTTGTGGTTTATGTTTTTTTCTTATGTTGTGCGTCTTAAAACATTCAATTTCAAATAATAATCACAACGGAATACTCGGAACAACAATTAGTCGTTCACACAAAAAGTTGTTCCGTGCGGAATTTTAACCGGCCACACACGGCAGCCGGTTACCCAGCCACCGCACCGCGTCAACTGTGCAGTCAACATAAATTGGTTGTTATATTCATCTCAATAATTTACTTTAACTATAAAAGCCCTTTGCATTATACAATGCTTTACGAGTACGATAATGGTAAAAGATGAAATGGTCCACATATTTTTAATTTCTCTGTCAAACAAGAAACGTGACCCCACACAATGTTTTTTCCCCAAATTTGATTTTTATTTACTTACTTGTAAACGAAAACCAACCAAGTATGTCAATCAACTTGGTTAGTAATAGTTAGGTATGTAGTAGTATGGTATATATTCACAGACAGAAAACCAATAGGTTTTCACGCTTAACAACAAAAATAATACGTGAACAACCAATGTAGCACTCAATAACTAATCTGTAATCATTGTTTTAGGTTTGATATAAGTAATTCTATATTTATAGTACACCAATACAAAAAAAGAAATACATTTCAAAACTAATTATTTATGTCTCCTGTTTAAAATAAGGAGCTAATGACGATAAATTCTCCATGATTCAAAGTAATAATAAAAAAATACGTTGCCTTAAAACTCACAAGTAGAATATTAATCTTTCAGTCTGTTCGACAGTGAAACTAGGTGCTCGTTCCAAACTGTAAATTCCGAAATGGAGAAGAACTAGCAAGAAATTCAATAGTTACTTTTAAAAATATTAATTATAGATGTATTTTACACCAATACATTTTTAACTCTATGGTGAGTATATTCTGTATTATTTTTGCCCTTTAAACATTTTAACTAACATCTCGCTCCTAATTGACGAGATTCGATTAATTAAAACCTGAGTCACGCTAACTAAAGCTGAGATGGAAAAATTCTCCGAATCAACTGTCAAATCGAAAAAGTAATGAATCAGGCATTTTTTAACGATCCCGAAAAGTTGTTAAAATAAAACTGAGACGAAAAATTATCGAAGAAAATTAATTAAGAACGAGGAAAGAATTAGAAATGGTAATTCAGCGACTTTTTAAGACGTGAAACGTCGATGGATGAGTTTTATGTCGAACGAGCTGCAGGAGATAGAAGTCGCTTCAAGTTTTTATTATTATTCATGAGTTTCTATAGCGAATATTTATTTATTTCATTTTATTATTAGCTCAACTTTTGATTAATATTCTAATATACTGCTGTGTAGACTATTTGCTTGCAGAATACTCGTTATTATCACTGATGTACAACGCACAACGCGCTTTGTTATTTACGTTATTTACGCCTCTGTGTGAGCCATCACTTAGCATTAATACACACGCAGATTACAAACATAATTACAAAATTACGAGAACACACAATGCTCCTACATCATCTTTTGTGTAGCACGCTTTTGACTACCAACGCTTTTAGGCGCAAATAACCCATTAACCCTTGATGATTCCAGCAAATTGTAGCGAAAACCTCACAGCACCAGCTATTTCCGCATAATTCTCAGAGCAACACTGAATAATACGTACTAATCCCTGTAGGAAATTCATCGAGCCAAGATGACGTCGACAGAATCGACGTCTAACTTCGTCGTTGCGACTTTACGTAGTTTCAGAGTGTGATCCAATCGCCAGACGTGGCACAAATCGGGGACGACGCGACAATGACGAAAAGAGGCCGACGGACGACGAAAATAGACGAAAAAAACGAAACAACCATTCGCCCATAATGTGAAATAGGATATTTTTTTTGTTATAAAATAAGTTTTTACGCGGACGCGTTGGCCGTCGATATGAAAACTATGTCAGCGGTTTTTTGAACGCAATTTTTCCAAGTTGTGTTTATGAATTTTATGTTGAAGCTAGTGATGGGGGATATAATGAAATGAGGTTGGTTGGGGGGAACGTATCTATTTTATATTCTACGGGAGTGGCGTAGTGCAGATGTCGGTCGACGCATCCTGACTATAAAATCGATATTACAGTTTTCATTAGGTATCGAGTAAGATTGCAACGGGAAATGCTAGTTTTAGACTAGGATCCAGTGATTGGTTTTCGGAAATTCAAAACCTCAGCGCCATTGATAGGTAGCTGAAACTAGCGACCGAATTGAGAGCCTTAAATGTAAACCATAGACTTTAAGTTTGAGTATTTGCTGAAACAAGATGGCCGCTTCTGAAGATTTCCTTCAGTTAGGATTACCACTTAAGTTTGTAAGCATTCGATTTATAAAGGCTCTTTGGAGCTTAGTAATCGATTCGTAAAAGATACTTAGTAGCAAAAGATTGTTTGAAACCAACCTACTTAAAATCATCAATCGAACTCTCTAAATTTCTTTTCACAGAAATACTTGACTAATTCTTTTAAATCGTTCCGTTGCTATCTGGAAACTTAAGAGAGGGTTCTGTTTTACAGAATTTGAATTAATGGTCTATTGAATTGGATATTTATTAGACAGAATACCAAGCTCCTAGTAGCTCGATGTTTCTTGCTCTGTGGGTTGGCACGATTATTATGGGTTGAGGATAACCTTATTGATTATATTTTGGTGTCTTTAGTTTGCTTGTTTTAGACGGGGTATATGACGTATGACGCGGGTAGCTGAGTGACGATTGTCTATGTATGTGACTATTGTCTATTATGTAATAGGATCTTAGCTCCTTATTATACCTCATTTACCTATACGAAATACATAAAATAAAAATAAAATAATATGATTTGAGTCGAATAAGCGTTTTTTTTTGTTCTATGTATTTTGCATCGTTACTCAAATCAACTACAACCTCAACTATCAAGCAGCGGCCGGGATTGAGAAGGAAAAAAAAGGGTGTTTTTTTAGTTATTAAAAGGGAGTCTGATCACTGTCTTACCAACCAAGGCTGGAGACGTAATTTCATGATTAGCCTTTCTTAAAAAAAACATCAAGAAAGTGCCATTGAGATCGAATCCTGACTCCGATACTATTATTCACTATTTATCACCATGAACTCCTGTCCAAAGGCCTATCAGCATGACGATGTGATAATAACATCAGTTGTTTTCTTTCACACGATCACACGCAATATGTACACACTCCCACAGTTATTGTTAGTACATTATTATTTCCAACACATTTCACATATAAAACGATGTCTTTGATTATTTGTTAGTCAAGATAAATGCTCTTGTTATTGTTATTTTTAGTTTTTATTATTGGTTTTCTTTTGTTGATACTGTTCGTGCAACATGTGATCGAGATTTGATTTTTTTGAGAAATTTTATTAGAAGCACATTTTTTGGATTGATGATCTCTTGTGACTTGGAATTTTCGTAACACTAATGTTAAAAAACTGAGCCACGTTTTTTAAATACTCCTGCCTGATCTATAGGAAAATACAAAGCGAGACTTTTTTTGGGGTTTTATAAAGTAAAATTTAACTTCTACTAACGAGAACTCAACCAGAGAGAGGTCACGTAATCCAACGATGATGTAACATATCCAACCAGACAAAACGACACGTCACGAAAATAAAATTGAAAAATAAAACACCATTTATATGCAGTACACATTAACCTAGCGACACACTCCGAACTCAATGACGTCAAAAAATTGCATCCAACATTTGTCACAGTGATAAGAATCGCTCATTCAGCTTGACACAAATTCGGGGCAAGCATTCTCATTTATGCCATGTCGACGAGAATTGCATCTGCGTTTATTGTGCCGTTAGGTTGGCAACTTGTACGTAGCTATAGCTGCCTCACTTGCTGTGGCGTCAGCTTTATTTATGGCCAGATACGGCGTGAGTATATTTTCCCTAAATTATATGGGTACGTCAGCTTTCCTTCGAGTTTATAGGGTAAGTGGGAGTTAATTTAAAAGCCTTTTTAAAATGCAGTTACTATTACTATTTGAAATATTGCACATAATACAAAGAATCATCTAATTAGATATTAGGACGTTATAGATCTCCCATAGCGGGACTGCTGGAAGAGATTCCTGAAAAAATAAGGTGTGCCTTTGTATCTTATTGTTCTATTGTTCTTCTTATGTAGCTGACTGAGTACATTAACTACTAAATACATAATTGAACACATAATATGTCCATTGTGTGTTCTATTTAATTTTTAAACAACAGTATTTCACAAACACACTTCATAACGCAAAGTTGCGGGCTATTATCAGTTCACAAGTAAAACTTCCGATATCACTTAGTTGTTTAAGTAAAATGAAACGACAGTTTTTTCCAGATTTTTATGGTAACTTGTAAAAACAATGTTGGCATTTAAGGCCACGTCAATTTACCAACATTAACACATTTTGTGTGAAACAAAATTGACTTTTGATTGCTACTTTTCCATGTAACTTGTAACTAGCATAAGTGGGAATGTCGTTTATATAGTTATTTGAATATAAAAGTAATTTTGATTGCAATTCTATTGTATAACATTATTAAGGATTATGAAATTCCATTGGGATAGGTCAGCAAACGAACAGCTGAATCGCTTGATCGTAAGAAATTAGCGCCGCCTATACTCATAATAACAAAGGAGTTGCAAGTGTGTTGCCGGCCTTGTATAGGTTGATAGGAATTTAAGAATAGAGGATTCGAGAGATTGAGGATAGGGGTCCTCCATCCTCAAATACTCGATCCTTGATAGGCAGGATTGGGCCTTCCGTCATCTCCTCAGGCAATGTAAGTGAAGTTTCACGCTTGGTATCCAGTGAGGTCGTGGTATCACTCCGGTCGATTCGGTCTATTTGGGTCGAAACATGGCTCTCTGACTAAAGAAACGATTTTTCGTTTCATACTATTTTACAGTAAGTAATAAACATATTGGACCGTCTGATAAATGGGTTTATGTGTGACTTTTAAAAAGTTTAATAATTCCACGAATTCCGGGGTAGAAGGATCCTCGAAAATGATTACTAGCTAATAAAGGCTTACTTTTAATGAGTGTTATGTCGTAAAAGACGAAAAGAAATCAGAGATCAGATAGATTAACAACCTCAATTAAAAGGCATCAGTCAGTATACCTGAATATAGTATACCGACTAACTGACCTACTATTGTTCCAACACGTTTTCCGAGTCAATTATCTAATTCTAGACTCTCTTTTATTCGGTAGAAACACTAACAGCTATTTAATCAGACACACAATCACAAAAATATTTATATATACTAAAATTTAGTAAGTACCCTTAAATATTAGCAGGTTTGCACTTTGCTATCTATTAGATAGTATCCGTATAGATAGATATCTTGTTAGCGATAACGTGGCGTCAGCCATATTTATTGAGTATACAGGGCGTTTATATTATGAGGTCACGCTGTGTTTGTAGTGATGCGATACTGGATTAGGTGTTGTCTTAATAATTATGTGTCGTAAGGTTTTTGTCAAAGTAGGTTTGTTATGTATGTGTTTAATTAAGCACGTGATGTTTTTTGTTTGTCTAACTTTTTGGTTGAATTTAAGACCTTGTTTCTTACATTTTTCCTGTTGAAAGTTTTGAAAGATGTGTGGGAGAGCCAAGCTTCGGCACGAATGGGTCGGCTCGACCGGAGTGATACCACGGCCTCACAGGAAACCGGCATAAAACAACCATATTGTGTTTTGTCGTGTAAGTGAGGTAAGCGGAGGCTCATAATTCCTTCTCAATCTTTACATATCCGAAACTTTTATCCCTAAAAGGTCGGCAACCCAATTGTTACTCCTTTGCGCGATTCGGGTGTCCATAGGCGGCGCTGATTGCTTACCATCAGGTAGTCCGCCTGCTCGTTTGCCGACTTATATCATAAAAAAACGAAATAGGAATATAATAAGCAGTACCTATGTATCTTTATGTAAGTATTTGGTTTTCTATTTATTGTAATGTGATGTGCATAAATAAATAAATAAGGATGACTGTCGAACAAGAGGTGAATGCCGAAAAAGACGCTAATGAAGTTTCTCAGCTTACTCGTTACTGGTACAAATGTACCTTTTAAAAATTAAAAACAGTGTAACTCTGTAACAGTCGTGAACTTAAAACTGTGTATTCAGAAACAATCTTTACCTCTAAAACCAAAAGATCGATTTTCATTTAACACCTGCTATCGTACAATTTTCCCCGCATCATTAAGCGTGCCTGCATTGTCAATGTAGTCTAAATTGTTCCTAAATTGGTGAGCCGCAAAATTAACGCCCTTAAAAGCTAACGAATATGTGATCCTCCCGCCACAGTGGTCGAATTTGAACGGGAACGCTCCGAAATTACGGGAATGCACCGAAATTACGGGATTGCTCCGAAATTACGGGATAATGCAGCCATCATTGAAAATTTCGGCGTTCGAAAAGCAAGTGTAATTATTTCAGAATAACGCTTCGGTTTAATTCTAATGCATTTGTTTGGATCGGTTTAAATTCTACTAGATAGTAAAGTTGAGTTTTAGTCGATTAGATATTTGAGCGAGTTTCACGTTTTAGTTAAAGACTTTAGGTATTTTAGGTAAACTAGATTGCATTTATTAAGCTTCTATCGTTAGTGATTTGTTTTCTTATTAGTTTTTAATATATCCTTGTTTTTTATGATGTAAACTAGTGTAAGGTAGTGGCTCATTATAAACATTTAGCTGAAAATTATGATTGAAGTAAACCCAGTGTACTCTTTACTTTGGTCGCTGTTATCATCGGTTAATTCAATTTTAAATAGTGCTTTATATTAACGTAAGATAGAAGAAAGAAAGAAAGAAAACTGTTTTTATTTGGAATAAGACATGAAGGCAGAGAACAAAAAAAAATACAACAAAAAAAAAAATACAATAAAAAGTTTGAATAACAACAAAATAAAATTAATCAAAACAATTAACTTAAAACAGACTAGTAGATACCCTGGATTGGCGGACATGCCCAATCCGAATGGGTCGCCTACTCAGCAAAAGCTGGGCACAGAGCACCCAACACTGATTTTCAGTTGGCACCCCTGCAGTGATGCACGGACGAAAGCAACACATATTACCTACTAGTAAAGATATTAATGGAAGATCTTAAGATGTTTACTGTTGTAAAAAAAGTTTGGAAGAGCCATGTTTCTGGATGAATAAGTCAGCTTGAAGCAACACTTGTATTGCTCCGTGTAAGTAAGTCCTCAATCCACAAATACCCTCCTCCCAAAAATCCTCAAATCCTTAACGACTGACAAAATTCCGGAAACGTACTCTTGGTAGCTCTTTTGGTGTCTTTGGTATCCATAGGCAACGCCTATGACGACCTATCCCATTTTTTTCTATCTGTGTATAACTTTGTTAATATGCCTTTATTTTTGTGTGAAAAAACCACCAGACATTATGAACTGTAACATATTTTCTGTTGAGACGAAACTAAGAAATACAACAGCATACTGTACACACCGCCTTTCTCTAATTGAATTCTGCAACACCCTATAGTAACAGAAACTCCATAGAAAGTGTTTTTGCGGCCATCCGGCCAGAAACGGAGCGGTGTATCAACTTCTTATCTGCCACAAACATACGAGTTGCAAACAACTACCAAGTTAGTATAGAAACTTCCCTAGTGAAACTTTGTAGGCGTTGGAAGTCCATGTGCACGGTTTCAAGGTTTGCGTGTGATATTGTTTATGTAGTTGCATTGTTTTGTAACAAGAAAACTGGTGGCATAATGGAAATGTTCATTTAGGTTAGTTAGTGTTTTGTGTTTTGTTCTTTGAATCTGTGTTTTGTTTTATATTGTGTGTGTGTTTGTTTTGTTTACATGGCTGAGATGAGTGAAATTGTGTTCTATTCTTGATTCTTATTTATATTTTAGGAAGTTAATGTATCAGTGTAGTTATCTAATTATTTTTTTGATCTACGATCAAATACTGCGTTGTAAATAGTAGCATTCTCAAACGTTTTGTTATGATTGCTGCGTTTGTTATATCATCTAATGCGCGGTCTAAAGCAAATAATATTTGAAGAAAAAGACGATAAATTGATGTATGTTTTGCCGGCTGCTGATGTGATAGTTAAAATTAACGTACAGTAGAATATTCTTACGTAACTTGCCAATGAAATAAATCAGAAATAGTTGGAAAATTATGTATTGTACGTATAATATTATTTATTAGTAAAACTCTACATACCTGAAACCTTTCATCATTGGTGTATGTGAACTTTCCGGAGCTCAAGATATGCCAGTCCCGCTTTCTTATCCAAGACACTTGCTGTAAAGAAATATTAATATTAATATTATAAAAAAAATTACTTTATTTTTACTAATATTACTATAGAATAAAATTGCAATAATTACACTTCAAAGAAAATTGTGTCAAATTTCATTGCAGTTAAGAATTTGTCGTTGGTAAAATCGTCGAAAATAATTATGATTACTATGCAAGGAGCCTTGGTCACAAGATTGAAATAAAATAATTGTACTCTTTCGGATTTCTGAAAATTGTTACATTAAAGTTGGGTTTGGGGCAATGTATTTTTTTATAATCAAATGAATACTATTTTGATAAATAAAAATAAAACTACAACTTCTAAGCTCCTACTTCTACTACAAAAACGTTTATAAGATTTTCATTTTTGGATAAATAATATTTTGATATTTTGATCGCTTTTGGAAATAGGTAACTCTAAGAAAACCCTATGCAGCGCGAATACTTGGCGAATAATGCATAGAACTGTCGAAAATTTTCAAAATTGGAAGCTAACCTTTTTCTGTTTTTGCCAAAATTTAAGACGAACTATTAAATTAAAATTATTACTCACATAATTTATGTATTATTTGTGCACAGTTTACATACTAACATGTAAGTCATTATAAGACAAAGGTATATCATACACGGGCCACCCACTTTCAATCAATGTTGTAATTAGCTACAGACAATGGAGGATCCAGCCTATTGTCACAATCTAGATACACACACAGATTCTGAACTGTGTTATTAATGACAAATAACGAAATTAATTACGAAACAGATTTATCTCTATGAATTTCATATTATCACGACTTTTGTCTTTTGTGTTAATGTAAAAATTACCGATGACTAATTAACGACTGGGCTTTTCGATCGGAGTGATACTACGGCCTCGCAGAAGACTGGTGTGAAACAACGCTCATGTTGTTTCGCCTTGTGAGTGAGGTTACTGGAGGCTAAATCATTCTCCAAGTCCCCAAATATTGGACTGCGGACTGCGGACGACAAGTAAGGGTAGCTCGCCGCTCGACCAGAACCGAAGGCAAACACGAGCGTACAGTGCGTAGCGTTTCACGCGCGCCTCAAGAGTCAATAGACGGCGACGGGGCCCTAAAGGGCTGATGTTAAGCTGGGGTTGCGAGGTAAGCCAAGTAAGGCACTTCGGCCTCGGTCTTACGCAGGAGAAGAAACATTTTAGTCGGTAAAAGTTAGACAATGTAAAGTAGAAGTCTGATTCAGGGGCGGCGCTGATTGCTTACTATCAGCCTCGTTTGCTCGTTTGGCTCTTATTCAAAAACAACTCGAAGCAGGTCTAATTCGTTGAAAATGATCTCATTATTTTGAATTTCGTCGAAAACGAAAGCCTAAAAATATATTACTGGATCCAAGTATCGAGCTCAATCGTAGTACTCGAACAACGAAAAAGTTATAATGAAGAGAGAAATAATTAAAATACAGCGGCCACGGTAAAGTTTCGAAACCAAAATTATTGGAGAGTGTCCAGAAAGTACCTACTTCAAAATTTTCCGTTGTCCTTTGCCAAATAATACTGTAGTACAACATCCTTATGAATATACATTCTAGATTTTCTAATCATCATTATTACATACTTCAACCTGCTGGTTATTTTGATTAGAAGATCTATAACAATGAATTACGCTCGGTAGTTGCGCTTTCAACCATTACAGGTTTTAGGTTGCTTTTTGCTCGCCAAATAGCCATAGGGGTTTTTGGTTACAAAATTCAAGTGGAAATTTGGAGTTGTGCCCAACGATTGCCTTCGGATGCAAAATTCTGCGCCTAAAAAAAATCTATGTGAAGATATTCTATAAGGACTCAATTTATTATCAATACTCAATTGCTACTATCTAGACGAGATAGTCAATTGTTGGAGAATCAACAAATGGTCCTATTCTGACAAGATCTGTCCTGTGGTCTTCCTAACTTATTTAGAGTAACTAAAGTTTCACAGGAAAAAATCAAATAACTGCTAAAATAATAATCAAATAGACCGGAAGAACTGGAAAGAATCTGATTTGTCAATTTTTCCTAAATTACCCGTAACATGAATATACAGTATGTTTAAAAAGGCGCGACGCAATTTACTGTTATGTGTGAAATTAAGCCTTTGGGAATGAGTTGAAGCGTCAACGAACGAATTGTCTGGTCATGTCAATGTCGTTCAAAATTACTGGCTTGTAGACATTTTGGAGTGAGCCACTTTGGAACACGCTATAAATAACGAGTATCTAGATTAATTTAACAGGTTGCTTTTAATTGTACTCTTTACTGTTTCGATAAAATTAATATTAAAATTTTGTTTTGGCGTTTTATTATTTGGGATTCTTTATTGTATTTTAGAAGGCAGTTTCTCGATTTTGTTTGTTTATTGTATGAAAATGTCTAAGTGGGCTGGTGGGTAAGCCTTCCAGCGCCCTCCTGCATGAGAAGGAGGGCGCTGGTTCGAATCTAGGTAAGCCCCAATGTGACTTTTCCGAGTTTCATGTATTTTCCATGTATAAGAAGAAGCCCAAGCTCAGCAGTGAGCGCTTATAGGCTGATGATAATGTAAGAAAAAGATTTCATTGATATTAAGACCCTAGGATTGTACTCCTTATATAATAGGTCTTATACCAAAATCTATGCTAGTACTATTTTTTAAGATAAAATTGTATTATAATTCTAAACTAAGTTGAATATAAGCTTACAATCCTGGCTTTAGTGTCAAGTAACTCGCAAACTACTAATCAGATTAATCAGTATTATCCAGACGAAGTTTACCACTTAGAGGTCATAGTTCGCGATAGCATTGTGTTTAATTGTGAATAATTCAAATTTAAAATTAAATATTCTATAACAACTGTGATTAAAAAGGGTGTGAAGAAATAAAGGTGTATTCGATTAGCTTTCAAACTAGAAACCCGAAAATATTTTATCAAAATGGTTGTCTTTGAAATCTTGTTTTCGACAAACAGAAGACTCCGCTCCTCCCTATTTTGTACAGAGTGATAATAATTTCTAAAATGTAATGTATACTTAACTCTTCCATTTATTCATTTGTATATTTTCATCTGCATCTAACATACCATTATTTAGGCTCAGTGGACACCTAACCGCCAAAGGTATCCTTATCACCTTTGATGATATGAATGTATGGTGTAAGTGCAATAAAGATGAAACATACAAAGAATAATAAGTAATTTATTCTTATTTTATTTTATTTTAGAGAAAACACATATTAGTTTCATCCAAACTAATATTATAAATGCGAAAGTAACTCTGTCTGTCAGTCTGTCTTTTCTTCACGCCTAAACTACTGAACTGATTTCGGTGAAATTTGGTACAGACATAGTTTGGAACTCGAGAAAGGACATAGGATAGTTTTTATACCAAAAATCTGCAGAAAAACACTTTTCCACGCGAACGGAGTTGAGAGCAAATACTAGTAAACTATGTTATTTAATGTCATAATATTGTATAAACGCTTTTACTTTTAAGATTAATGCTCAAATTTTCTCCTTGTGGCAAGAGGCCTTTGCTCAGCAGTGGAAACTTATACCTACATAGGCTTATAATGTGACACCAAGCAAGCACCAAACGTGCATTAATATCGCTAAAAAGTAATATAACAACTTACCCCTCTTTCACTCAAGTGTCCAACAAGGCAGTGGAGGTAGGCGGTACCGCCTAACTGTGCTGTGATATTGCTGACCGTATTGTTCGCTGTGACGTCAGCGGATGGTTGCACGCCTGCGCGCCACCCTCGAGCTCTTGATATTCCATGATGCCCTGGTACAAAGAATTAAGTTCAGTAATGGAGCTGGATATTTAAAAAAGGTTATAATGTTTTTTGACTGCACGGTTGGCGCGGTGGCTGGGCAACTGGCTGCCGCGCAACGTGTCGCGGGTTCGATTCCCGCACAGAACAACTCTTTGTGTGATCCACAGATTGTTGGTCCGGGTCTGGCTGTGATGTGCATGTGAAATTGTATGTTTGTAAACGCACCCACGACACAGAAGAAAATCCTAATGTGGGGCAAGGTTTTTTAAAAAAAAAAACCACAGAGGAGTCACGTGCGCGTGGCTGGCCTATGGAGATAAGGGTTTTGGAGATTAGGGGATTGGGGGCGGTTAGAAGACTTATTTGCCATGTTTGGTCATTATTTGATAGTAAGCAATGATGCGAGCTATGATGGAGTACGCCTACCCATTAAGAACCTATTACCATAAGCAATCATCTCTCTTGAAAACCGGTGTGAAATAACGCTTTCATTGTGTTCATGCCACCACGTTTGAATTCAGCAGTAATTTATTATTATCCTCAATTAATAAAAACGATCTCCCATATATCAGCTGTTGAAATTCTCAGCGTTATTTTAACATCAACGTTATTATATAATTACCATAATTAGATTAATTTTGGTTTCAACACAATTGGCGACCATTTATTAACTTAGTTGTTATGCAGTGATTAATTCAATGAGAAAATCCATACATGTAACCGAATTGGAACGGGCCGGTGTCTGTATAATTTCTGTCGGTAAAATCTACTGAGAGGTTTTGAATAAAAGATGTCGAAGTATATTGTTTATAATAGTACTTAGATAAGCTAATATGATAACTAATGAAATTTTATACCTTTTTTCGATTTAAAAACGCCAATTATCTATGTGACGTTATAATTTTTTTAGGTCACACAGCATAGGTTCTTATTTCTCTTTAAATTAGAATATTAAGTATATCGTAAAATTTTATTAATAACTAGCTACTCTCGCACGGTTTCACCCGCTGCTCGGCTTCATTTAATCGTAGCGTGATATTTTATAGCCTATAGTACTCAGGAACATTGTAGCTATCTATCAGTGAAAGAGTTTTTGCAATCCGACCAGCGGTTCCAAAGATTATCCCCTACATACAAACTTACTAATTTTACCTCCTTTTAATATTAGAATAGATTGTAAGTGTGGATATTATTAAATATTTGATTTTGTTAGTTAAAATAATATTACCTTTTTGACTGAGAATACTACCCAAGTCCAAAAGTATGTGCAGTATACCAACAGTGTTTTATTGATATCTAGATTTTAAAACATGCTGTAACTTTATAGCTTCCTCCGTCCCTTACGTCAAGTCACTTCGAAATGTGTATCAACATTTTGCAGCCTATTATAAAAGAAAAACATTATTCATACAGATTGACAAATTATGTCGATCGTTTGGCAAATGATATAATTTCGCCTTTGACATACATAAGACTACTCGTATAAATACTACTAGTCTTTCGCTTTTGTATTAATATACTTACTATATGTCAAAATTTCAAATTTTAATGCAAACGAAGTCACTGGCTACATTTAGTATCTGAGAGCTGGTGGTCGCAGCGAATTATTGGCAAGTACCTACTTATCGCGTCGACACAGACAAGCTTAATTTGGATGACATTTATATTACCTTTGAGCACGTTAAGTAATTCTTTTTAATTATCGCTAGCACTGCCACGCTACGTTTTAGCGTCATTGATCTTTTTTTTTCAGATCATGTTGACCCACGTCTGGAGTTTCTCCTGTGTCGTGGTTGCGTTTACGAACATCTTATATATAAAAATTTCCTGTCACGTGTTTGTCCGCGATGGACTCCTAAACTACTAAACCGATTTTAAATTTGATTTGCATTCCGTGTGCATTTTTATTCAACTTAAAAGATGGGATTGCTTACATATCAATTTCTAGTCACAATATCATTTTGACAAGAACCTTAGCCACAGCAACGCGTGGCTGGGTCTGCTAGTCACGTATAATTTAATATACACATTACACCCAGACCCTTTTTTTGAGGAAGCAAAACCATCAAAAGATGGCGATCGTATGGCGAGAGGGAGTGTCAGACTCTTACGGACTAAAAACGCGCATCGTTCCTTCTCCTGCTCAAGGCAGAGGCCGCAATTTGTGGATAACATAAAGAATTGTTCCATGAGGGAATTGAGCCCGCGACACTTTGCAAGACAGCCGGTTGCCCAGCCATCGCGTCAACCATGCAGTTAATGAATATTTTTTGAAAGCATTGAATGTTTTCGTAATGTATGGTCTACTGTAGTGATCTTTGTCCAGTGGTTATTAGTATGACAGTCAACTTAATATTCTCAACTTAGATTGTTTAGGCAATTTTTACAAAATGATCATGATTTTATCAGCCACTTGATGTGTACTACTTATCCAAGAAGCATAACTTTTAAATAAGACAGTTGTAAACAAAATCCGTTCAGGAAATTAAACCGTCCAAAAATGTCTAGCCTTAATATTATGTTGTCCTTTTAAAAGTCACACAGAAAACCGGCGTCAAACAACCACATCGTTGTGCTTAACCGTGTAAGTGAGGCCTCCTTCACCACCCCCTATTCCCAATCGCAAAATCACCAAGTCCCTAATCCCTAAAAGGTCGGCAACGCACTTGTAACTCCTACGTTGTTGCGGGTGTCCATGAACGGCGCTGATTGCCTACCATCAGGTAATACGTCGACACGTTAGCCGTCCAATTATATAAAAAAAACTCTTGTGTCCAACGAGCTGGCAAATATTTTTATATCTTTTCTCATTTTTTTTTGTCTGTTTCTCAATTTCAATCTTTTTACTTCTGTAAGTGACGAGCTTGTGTTTGACAGATAAATTTAAGTCAAACCATTGTGAGTGACACCTGATTTCTTTTTTACTATATTGTCACTAACAAATTCTATTTATATTTAACATTGAGAATATTTGGAAATATTACAAAGTTCAAGTTAAGGCAAGGTAAGGTTGAGGGCTTTGACATAACCACGCACGTCGCCTACGCTGGTCTTCATTTTAAGAGTCCTGTCATATTTTTTTATAATAACTATCGTGAGACATACTAAATTAACTAAAATTCGCGAAACCAAAATTAACCCGCGAATTTTAGTTAATTTAGTCCTGTCATAGCTTGAAACTGATCGAACACCCTGTTCGAACAATTACGTGATTAAACCTAATTAATGAAACCCGATAATATCTGCCTTATTATTTATAAAATTGTAATATTTATAGGTACAGAAGTTATTTTTTTACCGGCTTTTTCCCGAGTCTTCGCTCCCTATACCTTACACTATTATTATCTTTCCTATTCTACCAAACTCTACTCCACATACCATAGTTTCAAATTACAATTACAAAAATCTTCTCCTCTCGTTATGTAACAATTAGCGAGACGTATTCAGCATGATCCCATTTTCATTTTTCACTGTTTTTATTTAGTGACCAAAATTAACAGAGCCGGTCCGACCCAGCTAGTCCGTTTTAGCTAGCTAAAAAAGGCAATTTGATTATGTATTGATTACTTACGTATATCTCCCGTGGACGATGTGTAGAGCGGCAGCATGCAGAATATGGCCGTCGCTAGTTGTATGCCCATGCTGCCAGTCTGTCGCCATCTCATCTGAAACAAATACAATGATAACATGAAAGACAAGAACAATTATATGATTATGTTAGCTTCCACTTGCGGCCTAGCACGCGTAGAAAAGTAACATAGCGATAGCTCGACTATAATACTCAAATCCAGTATAAGTCCGGATCCAAAGAGTATTCTTTGGATCCGATGGTTCCTTTACATACACACTTTCAAATTTTACCTCTTTATAATTAGTATAGATGTAATATAAGTTAGGTACCATATGCATATACTTGCTGCTTGGCTTATAGGTCCCAGTGAGCCAGAGATCAAGGAACCTACGTCTCACGACAAGAGCCTATGTGTTTTTCTCGAAATATTAATGTACCCACATTTAAAAGAAATTTGCAAGAAAATTTCTGATTATAATATTTTTTTTTTTTTATGTAATAGCTCGGCAAACGAGCAGGCGGATTACCTGATGGTAAGCAATCAGCGCCGCCCATGGACACTCGCAACGGAGGAGTTACGAGTGCGTTGCCGACCTTTTAGGGTTTAGGGATTTGGAGATTTAGGGATTGAGGAGGGATTGGGGAAGGAGAAGGATTGGGCCTCCGGTAACCTCACTCATACGGCGAAACACAACGCAGTGGTTATTTCACGCCGGTTTTCTGTGAGGCCGTGGTATCACTCCGGTCGAGCCGACCCATTCGTGCCGAAGCATGGCTCTCCCACACTTAAATTGAAATCACCAAGGAGCAAGCGTGGTTATTAATGCTCGTTCATTCTTTATGAGAAGAGGCCTTTGTACAGCAGTCAAGGAGCATGTGTAGGCTGCTGATGTGAATGTATTAGCTGTTAGCACGGATAGATTACGTGTAATCAAATTACGCTTTTGTTGTTTTAGACGGGTCGATGTATTGGAACTACCAAACAGTGTGGTCACTATACTACGCAACCTCTACCCCGTGTATATCTATTTTATAAAAAAACACCTTAATTAGATTTGTTACAATTTCTCATACTCACAACAATTGTGGATTACGCAAATAAAGCATATCCTAATTTGAAAACCAGCTGAACATGGTAAATGAGATTTTTTGTGCATTTAGTAAGGTTTTTTTTTGTATTGAAATATGTACCTTATCATATTCAGCACACAGTCCAACCGGTTGGAAACCAACCAACATTATGTGAAAGTGTCAAACTACTATAGATTCAAAACCTATCTATGTAGGTATATAATATAAACTAAAACATCTATACTAAACATTTGCCCAGTCATGAAGAAAAATAGATACATAATGTAATATACCATTTATCATTTACAAAGATCAATTTTATCAAAGAAAAGCGAATCAAGGGTCCGTACGATGGTGGCAATCTTTATTTATAGTTTCTATTCAGTCTTTTGATATAAGATATCTATACATAATATAGTTGGATGATATTTATGTACACTTTACTTCGAGACGCGACTTCGTTGGAGACAATCAATTCCTTTGATGCTCTCTAGTCGGAGAGCTAGGGCAGGGTAAATAAAGTGTCATTGTATTTTTGATTTTGAACAGCTCGTTTAAAATTCTAAATACAATGATATTCATTTGGTTAAGATTTAAAATTGCAGAGATTTTTAACGGATTTATCACATTTGCCAACAACTTGAGGTTTGTGTGTTTTTTTAAAGTCTGTAGCGATGGTCTTGCATAAAAGTATTGTAGGTAACTTACTTACTACTAAAATAAATAAATAAATAATTTATTGAAAAAATATTGATGCGCACTCTATACAGCTAGCTCAATTGTTTTATTCAACATTTACCAAAATAAAAATATAACTATCAAACAATAACATCAGTTAGTCGTCATAAAAACAATAATTTAATATATTATACGAATGGGTCGGCTCAACCGCAGTGATACTACGGCCTCACTGAAAATCGGCGTGAATCTGGACTTTGTGTGTGAGATAACCGGCGATCCAATCCTTCTCCTCCCCTATCTCTAAATCTTCGAAACTCGGAAAGGCCGACAACAGACTCGCAACTCCTCTGATGCTGCGGGTGTCATCATCATCAGGTGATCCGTCTCAAAATTTCCGGGCCAAGTCATCAATTTCAAGTCTATTTTAATTTCACGATAACGATTAGCTTGATACAAATATAATAATAATTACTAATTTCCATCATCCTATACCTAACTCACACAGAGCCGTTCCAAAATAGACAAAGGAATTTCTCAATTACATTCGTTAATTAAAATTATTTGGCTATTAATAAAATTTCCTTTGCTATGAGTGTTAGTTATTTTTAGCAGACCTACATTTAGTTTGGAAGATTCGGCGACTGTGACTACAAGAAAACCAATTTTCAATATACTAGGGGTCATACTTACGAATATGCAAATCTAAATACTTGTACAATTTTAAACTAGTTAGGTAGAGCGGTTTTCTCACGAGTTAGAAAAATTACTGATTTGCATTATTAATTTAAATAGTCTCACGATAAATATTGTATTAAAAAAAATTGGCTATAACATTTTATATTCAAAAATCTATAATTCTAATTTCCTATTTAATTCACATTAACAATGAAAACCTTTTTCTCAATAAAACATAAACAACTTTTGAACGTTCCGGCTCCCGGTCTATATTCGGAAACAAGGGAGGATCCCCAAGGCAATGTCTTTAACTAACTCCGAAATCAGTTTCCGCGCCATTTTGCGTTGCCAATCAGTCGCGAAGGTCGGTACATACATTGTAAACGAACAAACAGAAGTTCTGACAGAGTTTATTGTAATAGGAGTACACGTGTAGTTACTTACACGAGGCGTGAGATATTTCAATGATTGTGTTTGATAGTAAGTTCCATAATTTGTTTGACGAAGGCTTTGTTCTGGATGTTTCCTCATAAGGTGCGTAATTGAAACGTCTTCAGATTCAGCTATGAGGTCTTGAGGTTCAAGTTTAAGGTTAAGACGTTTTTTTATGAGGTTTTCGCGGAATTCCTTTCGCCTTCACAAATTAATCTTCATCATCATTATTCACCATTTCTTCATTCATCTTCATTGGCCTGTTGCCATCATCTAGTGGATATAGGCCTTCCCAATTGCACGCCATTGAGCTCCATTTTCAGCTCTTCTCATCCAACCACTGCAAGCCACCTCACGGATATCGTCAGTCCACCTAGTTGTATAGTGTCCTACACTACGTTTGCCTAGACGTGGTCTCCACTTCAGGACAATAATTTTGCCCGTAAAATTTTTTGCAGAAACTTGTTCCTTAAAAATAACGGCGCTGTTAAAAAAGGGATGGTCATTTAAAACTATTCCTTTCTATGTATATGAAATAGCATCGATAAATCAAAAAGTATTATTATTCAAACCTTTTTTTAACTAAAAATCGCGGGTGTAATTGATAAAAGCTCTACTAGTTTCGAACTACAGAGGGGTTCTTCCTCATACACATGTGAGTAACCCGCGATTTTTAGTTAATTTAGGATGTCTCACGATAATTATTATAATAACAAACCTTTTTTCTTTTCGCTACAATATCCTCCATTTCGAAGTCGAAAAAAAAAGCGTACGTATTTCAAGATCGATGTAGAACATTGATTGTGTCTTATCCTAGTATAATCCAGCCAAACCGAAATCAAATTACAATTGGATTGATCCTCGATTCTTTCCTAAAATTGCAAGTTTCTTTTACTAGGTAAGTTGAAAAAAAAGAATGTCAGAAGTTCCAAAAAGACATATCACGCCATTACGCCAATGGGGAATAAAAGTATGGGGAAAGAATACCTTATACATCATGGTTGATTTTATCAGTTTTTGATAATGTACATGTCTGCGAGAAACTTTGGGAAAATTGTGTCATGGGTGTATTGATAAAATTTTAAGGATGTGTATCAAACTAATAAGCAAGTCACATTTTTGCTTAGGACATATTATTTAGAAGGTCTTCTGAAGTAGACATGTTAAATAATAACGTATTTTGATATATGTGAAATCGTACTAGTTTTTATAGGATACGATGTAAGTAAGCGGATCAGTCTTTTCTTTTTTTATTTGAGGAGGACAAAATCGTCAACTTACATTTCCCGACCTGAGTAAGGCAATAGGGTCTTTTAGATTCAGAGATGACTAAAGACCACCTAATTCCTTCTTCCGCTTCGGTCCTGACCGCAGAACAATATTGTACTTGCACAGGTAACCCCGCTGGCTGCATCAACTAGGACCGCTCTGAGTACACACACAATACCAAAAAATAACAGATGACTATCGGCTTTTCATCTTCAGGATCCTCGCAACTCAAAAGTTGTTTATCGATTGTTTTCTATGAGATCATGCTATCATTTGGGCTGTGACAATATGTGTCAAAGTAGGACTCTTCAAAAGTGTGATTCAAACCCGTATTTTTTAATGTAATAGGTCGGCAACCTTTTGGACGGATTACCTATGTAAGGATTACCTGAGTTATGAGTCCGTTGTCGACCTTTTGGGGATTAGGGATTCGAAGATTTAAGAATTGGGGAGGGATTAGGGGAGGGGAAAGGTTGGGCCTCCGGTAACCGCATTCACACGGCGAAACATAACGCTGTACTTAGTTGTTTCACGCCGGTTTTCTGTAAGCCCCTGGTATCACTCCGGTCGAGCCGACCCATTCGTGCCGAAGCATGGCTCTTCCACACATGAACCTTCTTAATATTTTTTTCTATTTTGATCTCAAATCTACTAGAGAGCAGGGACTTGACGAAGACAGTAGATAAGATTTGTCAGTTTATCCGATTGGCCAACGTTTGATTGATTAAGTGCCGAAGTATTTTGAAAGACTTTCGGCCCTTTTGTTATATCGTATATTTCTTTTTGATGAAATATATTTCTTTGATTTTTAGATACGACTGTGACAAATTGATTTTGCATGGGTTTACGCGTAATGTCTGCTGTTGACGGATTCTTGTTTATGTATTAAAGATTTCTTTTATAGTAATAAATAATATTTTGATCAGATGTTATAGAATTTATGTTTTACATTATATTGATTTTATAACCATTTACATCGCCTGGTTGGCGGAACCTCCTTTTCTGATCTTGGCAAACTTTACCCTCAGTTCCCTAAACATAATGTATACTGAAATGGTATTACATTACTGCCAAAATAACCCTTACTAAAACAAAAACAACTTCGTTCATGTACAACTCTTTTGCTGGACTTAAACCAACTTGAACATCCAACTAAAATACAACCCAGGACGGAGTGTAAAACAGAAAACATATCCTTTCCTTTGACAAAATTGTCGATGAGTTTCTTCAAGTCATCAAACTTGTATGGAACGAAGGAACTTGGATTTTACTTGTCTGTCGTATGTTTCGAAGGAAACGTCTTTTCGTAAAGTTTTTCACGTATCGGTATTTTGTAAGGAGTGAATTAAATTGCAAATTGAAGGTTCGATGTGTGTATAGTTACAGTACGTATGTGTGAGTTATGTTTACGCTACTTTTATGTAGTCACTAACTATTCTCGCACGGTTTCACCCGCTGCTCGGCTCCTTCAGATTGCAGCGTGATGTTTTATAGCCTATAGCACTCTGGCAATCTGATCAGCGGTTCCACAGATTACTCCCTACATACAAACATAACCTCTTTATAATATTAGTATAGATTAGTTTGTTGGTTATGTTAACCAGCTTAGGACCTTTTACGTGATTTAAAACTCACAAAAGCTGTATTAAGTTCAAATTACAACAAGACTCTTATTCATAAGCATAGTAAATCATGTGGGTAAGTTCTTTCCAATAGATATAGCATGATAGTTGCTATTCAAAAAAAGGCCCAAATTGATATTTTTCTTTTTTTATGTAATAGGTCGGCAAACGAGCAGACGGATTACCTGATGGTAAGTAATCAGCGCCGCCCATGGACTCCCGCAACGGAGGAGTTACAAGTTGGTTGCCGACCTTTTAGCGATTAGAATTTTGGAGATTTAGGGATTGGGAGGTATCGGAGGAGGGTAAGGATTGGGCCTCCGGTAACCTCACTCACACGGCGAAACACAACGCTGTAGTTGTTTCACGTCGGTATTCTGTGAGGCCGTGGTATCACTCCGGTCGAGTCGACCCATTCGTGCCGAAGCTTGGCTCTCCCACACATGTGTATTAAAAAAGTTACATGCATGCACTTACTCACAAGAGCTGTTTAACAATAACTCGACTGGATTCAAGCCATAACGAGTCGTATAAGACTTTAGACATCTAGCTGACTAGTAAATATTACGTACGTAAGTACAATTTCTGTGTGACCCGCCCCCCTTTTTAATTTCTTCACTAGTCAATGGTTGTTCTTATACATACAAAACATTTTCAGTCAGTCACTCTATCTGCTAAAAACCGCATCCAGATCCGTTACACAGTTTTAAAGATTTAAGCATATTTAGGAATAAAGGGACAGATAAAGCGACTTTATTTTATACTATGTAGTGATAATATATATTTTAATCCCGAACAAAAAGCTAATTTACTACCGTAATAACATACCTACCTATACCATTTGTAATTTTTGCTAACTTATTGAATGCCTACATAAAATATTACGCTCAGATTCCCAAGTTCCAACCTGGCTGGAACTAAAATAACTCATTAGAGCCTCCTTAGTGAATACGTTTAATAATTGTACCCGTATTTCAAGCTCAATATACTAAAAGCACCGACGCGTTAATGTTTATTCAAGTACCTAATTTTACATTGTTACAAACCCCAGGAGACGTATCCCGCCAGTAAGGAGTATTTATTCACCAAAATAAACGGAACAGAAACGGAATTATTATTATTATAGATAATAAATCTCAATTTTATTTTGTTTTTTCTTTTTTATTTGGTCTTGTTTCTATGTACATACGTGCTTTGTAAGTAAATCCTTTTTTGTTTCTTTTTATCATGTTTATTAATTGTTTTTTCGTTAGATTTGATCGTCATTTCCCGCATCAATACTGCTTCTCATGAATGCTTAAAACCAGAAAAAAGCGTCTGGAAGTAAAAGGTCTTGGTGACCCTGGTTAAGGCTTCTCAAGATTGAGGGTGGACGTTCGAAATTTGGCCAGTACCAACGTGATTTTTTCCAAGTTATCATGTGTAATTTTTATTATGACTCTCTATGGCTTTTAAGAGAATCACTAAATATGTATTCAATGGATCACCTCCAACGACTTCCAAAGCAAGATCGTATTTCATTCCCTTGATATAATTGATGCACTTATTATTTACTAGTCAGCTAGATGGCTGAAGTCTTAAAAGACCCAATGTGGTTTGAAACCAGTCGAGGTAATGTCTACAACTTACAGACTTACTGACAAGAACTGTTTGACAGTATTTTAATCAACGTGAAACTGTTATTTAGGCCTTTTTTAATAGTAACTATTGTGAAAAATATGTACAAAATTTTTTACTCTGTCAAAATATTTATACTCAATACTCAATACTTTATTGCTTTCCACATGTATTCTTAGGTGGTAGTACTTATAAATAGTTCACATGGACCCTGTCGGGCACAGCAAAGTAAGTGGGATAGATAGGATATTTAATCCTGTGTTTGTTTCAACATTCGTTCCAGTTAACTCCTTCCTATCCGTAAATTTTCCCAGTAAAGGGATTCGAAATGAATTGTCTCTCGGATCTATCTGAAACTTTACAATTTGAAAAGTTAAATATTTGTTACTTGTCGAATCGTTATTTGTTAAACTGTTGTCGTAACTTTTAACTAGTTTTGCGGTTTGAATTGAACGGTCAAATTGTTATGGCCAACTTTTCGGTTTTAAATTGTTCATATTTACTTAAACCTATGTACGTTTCCAAAAATCTGGATTGAGTTTTGTGTTTTAGTTTTAGCTTTTGAGATATTATTAATGATTTTCAAACGTGGTCGTTGTTCATGCAAAACCATAGTTTTGTGAGGTTACCGTAGGCCCAATAGGAGAAGTACGTGTCATTTAATAGCTGCTATTGCATTCCTCCAATAAATCGATAGGGCCACAAATTACGTGAGCTGCTTAAGGGAGGGGGGAGTGGTCGAGTCAAATCTCTTAATCCCATCTAATCTCACGTTTCGGAGAGCCTCTCGAAAAATATCATGCATATTTTTTGATTTAAATAAAAAAATAGAATAAAAAAAAATACAAAGAATAGAATGTAAAAAATATTGTTTTATGTTATTTAATTATTACATGTATAACTCTCAGCAATATTGATTACTAGTCTTAACGAGTAGCAAAACCTAAAAGCACGGATCAAATAGTTTTTTATTCATTTTACAATAACAATCCAGTTCGTCAACGTAAGAAAGGTTTTTTGCCTCAACTACTATCTTTCTTTGAAAACCAAACAAAACTATATATATGTATTTTACCGACCATGAAGAAAATGTTTTTTTTCACCATAACTTCGTCAAAACCTTCTCTTCTTATCTTCTCAAGATATTATTATGATGAAATAGACAAGTGAGTACGCAATAGACATCAGTTGCACATTTTTTTTTAGTAAAATAGGTCGGCAAACGAGCACGCGGTTTACC